GTCCCCCAGCCCGCCGCCCTCCAACTGAGCGCCCGCCACCGTGGCCGCGTGCTCTTTGCGGAGGCCGGCCAATGGGTACCGCGCACGGAGCCCAGCCGGCCAATGGGCGCGGTACTCGGCCCGGAGGGCGGGAGGTCCCGAGACCGGGCGGGGCAGGGCAGGCTCCCCAGCCCCCTCCCCCAGTCTCCGGCGCCGCGGAGAAGGACTCTGCGCCCACTTCGGGTGCATCGGCAGCGATGGCCGTTTCTTCTGATGTCCCCTGCCCGGGAGGTCGGAGGGCCTGAGAGCGGTCGCCCCTGCGAGTCCCCGGATGGCCAGGACGCGGAGAGGAGTGGGCGGGAGCGCTAAGGGTCCACCCGCCCAAGACCTCCTGCCCCAGTTCCTCAGCCCCTCCCCGCTAGTTCCCGGTCCTTCTGCCGAGAGTCCTCTCCCCGCCTCCGACTCCCCGGTTGACTGCCGTAGATCCGAGCCTGGGGCCCTTCACACATTTATTCTCCCAGCGAATAAAGAGCCCTTCCTGTGCGCGCCCCGGTGCCAGCCCCCGGCTAGGGGAGAACCTGGGACCTACAGGGTGGCCGAGGTCTGCTGAGGCAACCCCTCCGCTCTGCCTCCATGTACTCTTAGAGGTGATCCCATCTAATTCGACCAGGGCGACGTGGTCGTGCGCTGCACGGCGGTGGGCTGGGAGCCACTGCGCTGCATAGTTACGACCGCGAACGCAACAAAAGGCCACGCCGACCTGCTCAGCCCCGACCAGCCCTACTCCTCGCTTCACGGCGACGGCCCCCTGTTGAGATGCACGGTCTCTTGTCTCACTGTAGCCAGACTTCCTTCCGACATTCCTCTTTCCCCTTCAGAACTACTCTCCATCCGCGTTTCTTCTACTCAGATCGATTTTTTGAGTCCGCACGCGTAGCGGGTAGTGGTTGGGCTCCAGGTCGCTGTGGAGCTGGCCACCTGGGGCACACTTTGTTTCCCTGAGGTGCTCCACAGGGTGGCCTCGCCGGTTTTAACAGTGTGTGTACATTCGAAGCTCCGCTGCACATTACACTCCTCTGCAGACTATAGTGTGCCAGACTCTGTGGGCCAGGCGCTGGCATAGCATCGAGGCCGAAGTGTAGGCCTGTGGGTGGCTGCCAACCAATGCAGAGAACGCCAGCGGGCTAGGCGGGTGCTGAGGACCTGAGGACACGTGAGCCTGCTCACGTGCGGTGGGGTGGGTGTGCTGCAGGGTCTGGTCCGCAAAGCCACCGAGAGAAGTGGGAGCACCAAGCAGGTGTGTGCGTCCCGGGAAGAGAGAGGCTGTTATCCAGAAGGCGACTCAGGCGTTCAGCGCGCAGCCCCACGGCTTTTGGAGACGCCCTGCTTGCCCTCCTTTTCTCCTCTGCTTGTTTTGTGTCACATCATCAAACCCTCTTATTGGTTCTAAGCTTCTATTTGATTTTCTTAGATTGACTAGTATTTCTGTCTCCCTTCTTACAGCTACTTCCCAGTTGTTTTTTTAGCCATAGGTAATGCGGTGACAGTCCCTCAGAGACATCTTCAGCAAGCACAGCTGGAGGGGAAGAGTGAGGGTTCTGGAGTTAGAGTGCAGCGTCTACATGGCTTAACCTCTTGCGACGAAAATAGGCAATGTGCCACAATCCATGTGAAGAGCTTGGGCTCAGTAATTATTATAAAACCAGACTGACCCTTTGCCCTCGAGTCGATGCCGACTCATAGCGATCCTATAGGACGGGGTAGAACTGCCCCATAGGGTTTCCAAGGCTGAGATCTTTACAGGGAAGCAGACTACCACAACTTTCTCCGGCGGAGCAGCTGGTGACTTGGAACCACTCACCTTTTTCTTAGCAGGGGAGCGCTTAACCACTACCTTGCTAAAGTGCTTTACATCCTAAAAAATGATTTAGTGCTTTACGTTCATTAAATCCTCACGGCCCGATTTTATGGATTAGGGTACTGAAGTACAGACTGGCTAAAGCAGCACTGTAGAGCAGGTTGTGTCTGACAGCAGAGACCATGCGCTGTAACCGTCATGCTCTTCTACGATTACTGTGAATGAGATGATGCATAAAAAGCACCTACAATGCCTGTATATCAGTAAGCGTCCTATACAGAAAAACAAAAACAAAGAACGAAACCAAACCAGTTGCCATCGAGTGGATTCCGACTCATAGCGACCCTATAGGACAGAGTAGAACTTCTCCATAGGGTTTCCAAGGAGCAGCTGGTGGGTTCGAACTGGCAACCTTTTGGTTAGCAGCCTGAGCTCTTAACCACTGCGCTACCACGACAGAATACAGAATAGTTTCATTTATTTATTGATTTTAGGGTTGTTTGTACATCTATTTAGCCCTTTGCTGCGATAATGGTAGAATTCAGCCTTCGGCAACCATGCGTATCAAATTCGGTTATTTTTAGTCTAGTCACCAGTCACCTCCCTGAATCAAACGCAATGCGTTGCGTAATTGCATTTTAGGGTACGGTGCAATATACATTTAGTCCATAAGAGATGACTGCTACTTCTAGCAGGGTATTAGAGAAGAAGATGGCGGTGGTAGAGGAGGGGGCGCGGCTAGAGGAAGGGGCACTAGCCGACGCCAGGGCTGCCGGGGGGCGGGGCCGGGCCGGCGCCACGTGGGCGTCCCCCCGCCCCTTGGGCCTCCCCGCCTCCAGAACCAAAGCGGCTGCGCGGCTTCGCTCAGTCTGGGTTTGGCCTCACGGAGCATGCGCACCCCACCGTACTCTGATTGGCGAATCGGCGAGCCCCGCCGCACTCTGATTGGCGGAGCCACTGCCCCGCAGGGTTCCGCACTCGCCCGGCGGCGGAGCAGAGTCGGTCGAGCAGCGCTGGGCCTGCAAAACCGGGCGAGGGCTGGCAGGGCGGTCTCGACCCTGTCTGTGCGCACCAAGCCAAGGGCAGGAGCAGCTCCAGTCGCGCCTGGTTCCGCCGTACCCATCTCCACGACCTTGGTCTAGCATGTTCTCCAGGGCCCCGGTGAGGCGAGTTCTGCAGTGGGTTCCCGGGAAGGAGCGACTCGGCATCTACAGGTTCCTGCCTTTCTTTTTTGTCCTCGGAGCAGCGATGGAATGGATCATGATCAAAGTGCGCGTGGGACAGGAGACTTTCTGTAAGTGGGGGTGAGGCAGCTTCGGTTCCATTTCAGGAAGGCATGGGGCAGCAGAGGGCCCGTTTCCCTGGGCGCATTCTTAGATTGCAGACAACTCCTTGCACTCGGCGCTCCAGAGCTGAGCTGCTTTAACCTTGTAGGAAGGGCAAGTGCAGTTCTATTCGCTTGGTCCTGGAGACCGGCCCGGGCTCTCCTGTAAGCGGGCGACAAAGGCACATTGACGTCCAACCTTGAGACCTTTCCTGCACTTGAGAGGGCACGTGCCGTCAGGCCGCCTCGTCGTAAGCCTGCCCTTCCTGCTCATGCTGGTGACACTGTTTGGGTTCCGAGGAACAGATTTCAAGGGGTGGATCCTGGGAACTCAGGAAAACTATTAACTACCTGTCAGGCACCCCCCCTCCCCACCCCCGGCCTCTTCAGTCCGAACTCTGGAGGGAGCTGGTCTGCCTGGCTTAGCCAGTTGCCACTGTCTTTACAGGGCGAAGTCATTGGCACCGGCTTCTTGGCCTGTGGGTCAGATGCCCAGCACTGTGAAAAGAATGTCTGGCATTGCTTTGCTGAGCAGTTCTTTGGAGGAAGCCTTTCCCAACCCCTAGGCCCTTTCTGCTTTGCCCCTCTGCTGAAACACTGTATCCCCTTGGAATTGCTAACCCTCATTTTGCTATTACATTAGTGCTAAAATTTTCCGCCTTTTGTTCATCCATTCATTAATATTTAACAAGCACCTAGGAGAGGATATGTGAGTCCCTGGGCGGTGCAAACGGTTAACACACTCAGCTGCTAATCAAAAGGTTGGTGGTTTGAGTCCGCCCAGAGGTGCCTTGGAAGAAAGGCCTGGTGATCTACTCTGAAAAATCAGCCATTGAAAACCCTACGGAGCCCAGTTCTACTCTGACACACATACTGTCCCTATGAGTTAGCTTGATGAGATGATGTAATGAACAAGGCAGAGGGTCCCTCACCCCTGAAGAACTCTAATGGAAAAGACATTGTAAAGACAGTTACCATAAAGTATTATCAGTGCTGTGACAGGGAAGGAGGGGCGGGGCTGTGGATGGTATAGGGAAGGCTTCCTGGAGGAGTTACCATGTCAGCCAGGAGCTGAAGAGTCAGCTGGATGGACTGTGCTGTGTTTGAGGGACTGAAGCTGGTGAGCAGAGTGAAGGGTGATGTGGTTAGAAAGGTGCCTGGGTAAGGCCACAGAGGGACAGGAGAACTAAGAATGCAAAGAGCTGAAGGGTTTTAAGCAGCAGATTACATGTCTGGGGAGTGGCTCCTAGTGGAGAAGAGATTGGCAGGAACATTTAGGCTGTGTGGTGTCCAAGTCTGAGATGTGGCCTGTTCTAGGGTGGGGCGGAGAGCGCCCTGGAGGTAGAGGTGACAGCTTGGTGACTGACAGGAGATGAGGGAGGAGGTGGGGCTTCCGGTGGCACAGTTGGAGCTGGGGAGTACCTTTTGTCCAGGTGAGGAACACAGGCAGGCTGATCCTGGGTTCCATTCTGGACGTGCTGAGCTGGAGATGGTTACACAGATCTGAAGCTCGGGAGGCAGATCTGGGCCAGAGATCTGGATTTGTGGGTCATTCACAAGCGGATGGCAATGAAAGCCAAAGGAGTCAAACCCTGACATTTGAAGGGTGCCTAAGAACGGCCAGAGAGGTGAGGAGGAAAACCATGAGCAAGTGTGACTCTTGAAGGAGGCAGATTCTGGAGGTAACACGTCCCAGGAAGGGAAAGACTTGATATGCAAATGCTGATCCTGTGATGGGGGATGGAGAGGCTGGAAATACCTTGGGTCTTGAGATGAGAGCAGGGCAGTAGGAGTAGCCCTTGGAAGTTAGCTGAAGAGTTTTTCACAGACGATTTCTTTCTGTGAAGTAAGACTTTCTGGCCATTCAGCGGTCAGGGTCATGGCTGAGGAAACAGGATTGTGGTGTCACCATGGACCCAGTTAGATGTGCCACTTGGCTCTGCAGCACCCAGCAAGCTGGGTGAGGTGCCGAGAAGAGAGGAAGTTGGATTCATTGGGGTTGAGGTTTTGTGGGTCTGTCAAGAAGTTAAGATACCGACAAGAGAGTGGAGGAATTTCTGCTGTCTTGGGTGGGAAGAGAGAACAAGAAGGCTAAGAGGGAAGACAGGGGCCAAGGGCTTAAGGAGGAAGTTGGTGGGGTCCAAGGACAGGAGGGCTAGAAGGTGGTAGCAGTTGTGATCATAGAGCAGAATACTTGAATTTATTACTTCAGAGGGACACTGCAAATGGATTGCAGAAGCTAGGGACTTGGCCAAGAGGCCAGAGAGGGGAAGGCCACATCCCTGTGTGTAGTGGTGCCTGGGGAGACGGGAGTGGACAGGGTCAAGAAGTCTGAACTAGATGCCAGAGTTCTCAGGGACTGAGGGGAGGGATGGAAAGCAGTTTGCCATGCAGAGCTGGCATGAGTCCCAAAGGGTTTTTTACATGAGGGTGGAGAATCAAGCCTGGAAAAGTAGCAGCTGAGAGAAAGGAAACTGACCTCACCTCGTGGCCCTGAGGTTCCTGGGTGTGGGAGAGGGAGCAGTTACCACGGAGAGCTGCAGGGCAAGAGGTGCCTTTAGGGGTCCAGGTTTGAGTTAGGAAGGAGGATTTCAGAGAGCAGAATAGAAACGGAGGAAAAGGAGGTCTTAAACACTGCTAAGAGGTGTGCTAGGAACTCACTCGATGGTTACAGGGTTCCTGTCTTTGAAGCCGTGACTCCTATTAACGTCCAGAGCTCCATTAACAGTCCTTATTTAACTTGATTTGTCTGATTTAGACATTAACGTTGAGATTCAGAAATAGGTGATAGACCTGGACTATTGCTTGAACTACTCTACTCAGATCTGAGAACTTTTAATTCCTTGGTTTCTTAAAAATCTAAATAAGCAAAATTTTTGTTTGATACAGATGATGTCTACCGTAGAAAAGCCTCAGAAAGACAGTATCAAAGAAGGCTGGAGGACGCCCCGGAGACTGAAGTCCAGCAGTCCATGAAGTGAATGGAAACTTCACTGCTGGTTTCAGCGCCCTTACAGATGTACTTTCCAGACTTCTTGTTCTTAGACAGCTTGTCCCTCAGCAGCTGCACAGTATTCCAGCAACTGCCTTTACAAAGAAGTTTTATGGTTTTACAGTTTCTGCGTAAACACTCCTCAACTTACTGTTGCACAGCACTTGAGGGAAAATTGTTTCCTCCTAAAATACACCCATCCATTGAACCTAGTCCATGAAATATTTTAAAATAATTCAAGGATCAACCAGGATGCTTTTCAGTGCAGTCTGAATAATTTGTGAAGTCCTTTGTTTTTGGACAACAAATGATAACCTTCTTTGCTTTTTTGCAGGATTCAAATTTAATCATGACATAAAAGACCTTGCCCATTGTGAGATCATTTACCAGGATAAATAATTATGCAGATAGCATTTCTGCTGGCTCCCACGTTGTAAACATTTTGCTAGAGTGGCGGGAGGTCTTGACTGTGCACATTACTCCTGGCAAGTGCTCTCGTGAACAGAAGTGGCCTCGTCCCTTGCTTGTCTTCACTGACACAGGAGGCTGGACCTCCGTAAGGACTCCTCTGTACGCTGCTGCTGCTTTCATCCAGCTGCCAAGTGAAAAAAACTTGCTCCTTCTGTAAGGAAGTGAACCTACCCAGTGTAAAGCATCCACAGACTGAACTAAACCAGAAGTTCAATCTGTTGGAAGAGATTTTGCAATCTGACCCAGAATAAGTTTGGGTCAGCTGGTGAAAAAGCAAAGGCATCTTTCCATGCTTGGATAAGCACGTCCAACATCCTTTCAAACAAGAAAGCATCTATTAGAGAAGACTAAGTTTCAAGATAGTTTCTAACTATTGCTCATGAATAAGCAAGCAGATGCTTAAAGCCACAGGGCATCCTCAAGCTAATGATCTCTGCCACAAACGTTATCTTTCTAAAAAGTTTCTCAATTTTTGTTTTCTTCCAATTTTAGTTCATTTGCGTTAGAACCAATGCACTGTGCATAAGAACCACTGACTCCTCAGACTCAGCAAAGCGCCACCTACGGCAGGCTCAGTCACTGCCAGCGATGGCCTGAGTGTGAAAGTCAGGGGAGACCAGCAGCACCGGGGGGAGGAACGTGGCCCATCACAGCCTCACACGCAGTCACGTTACCTAAAGAGTTTGCAGTGAACCTAACCCGACAGACATTTTTGTTGACTGCTGCACAAGAAATTAAAATTGTGGTGATGAAGCTTTCCTCTCAACTGTGTGGTCTTATTTCATGTTCCCTCCCCCTGCCCCAGCTTTACAGAATATGTAACATACACACCTCTTACGGCAACTAGAGTAATAAAACCATCACCCACCTTCTCCACCACAGCATTTCCAACATGCAGCGGCGGTTGTGGGTTCATTCCCAGGTCCATCACCCTGCTTCCACCCCTGAGGGAACCACTAGCCTGAGTTCTGTGCTAACCTGCCCTAGGGTTTCCTCTCCATTTGTTTTCCATTTCAGCGTTGATTTGCTGAAGGACAATGCCTGACTATTAAACTGAAGAAACTTTCAGAGCATGTTAGTTTGGATGCTACAGAGTAAGACAGATCTGTGTCAGCTAAGCTACAATCCTTTTTAACTTTGCCTCAAACATTTTTTTAACTCCCCTACTAGGAATATAAGGAGCCCTCCCTGGTGGTGGCACAGTGGTTAAACACTCGGCTGCTAACTGAAAGGTTGGCGGTATGAACCCACCAGCCGCTCCATGGGAGAAAAATGTGGCAGTCTGCTTCCATAAAGATTTACAGCCTGGGAAACCATATGGGGCAGTTCTACTCTGTCCTATAGGGTCGCTATGAGTCGGAATCGACTCGATGGCAGTGGATTTTGGTACTAGGGATATGATTCTACTCATTAGACATTGGAACTTAATGATTTAAAGTCAAAACAGCAATGCTCTTCTATGCTGATTGGAGAACAGCAGTTCCCCCTACAGTTAATGACAAGGTAAAAAATTTTAAGAAAAGATAACCCAAATTTCAAAAATTACAGCAATTATTTTATAATGACAAACATTTAATTAGCACTTATTGTTAGAAATCTACCTCTACTGTGGTGTTGGGAAAGAATAGGGGCTTTGGAGCCTCACTTTATTATCTGGATTAATATGGAAAGTCTGGCACATAGTAAACACTAAGTGAGGGCTATTTTTGTTTCTCTAGCAGTCCTTTTTGGAAGTCTTATCTAAATTGCTGATGTTATAACTTAATCACAATATCTCTCTTCTTAAAAAATACATACCTCGACAATGGTGTTTTCCAAAGCAACTTCTCTCCTAGTAAAGCAATACTAGGGCTTAGTCTTCAGATGTATATTAAATTTGGAATTTCTTGCCACATTTATGTGCAATCCACAACACATGAATACCACATCTATCTTGGGGAAAGATACAGTCTACTAAATTGATTGGTTCTGCACTTCCATTCAGCTGGCCTAGCACATTTCCAAACTAAAAAGGAACAATACTACTCAGCATTACCTCCTTCTACAGTGCTCAGCTGGAATGTTTCTACATTAACAATCATTCAAAATACGCTCCTGAACATAGATAACAGTATAGCCCTCAACTCTCAGGAGAACAGAACCACAGGGATTTGCAAAGTGATATTAGAGAAAAACGGTTGATTTTACCAACACTTTCTGTTAAAAGTGTGGTTGTGTTTTAAGAGCTTATAAACCTGTTAAAGATACACCTGGGCCATCTGCCTCTTCTGTACCCAGACAAGCTATTTGGGGTGGATTACACTGCTTTCCTCACCTTCCACCCTCCGCAACACTCTCTTCAATCTTAACTTCAACCTGCATCTCTGGCCCTGCTGAAGACTCATTAGGAATTCTTTGGCCACCAGCCTGAGAGCACTGGTGGGGCACTGCAGGCCGCAGTCTGACTACATTCAGCCCGTGTTAACACAGCCTGAGTCCTGAACCGGGGGTCTGGACACACCTTCACCTGCACCCAAGGAGCTTTCTTTTTTCCCTTAAAATGGCAGCTGTGTCCCTGTCAGCATGTTATCAGTGCTTGCAGGAATGAAATCTGCTTGAAACTAACATTGGACACAAGCTTTAACAGAACCACCAAATCTGGTTAATCCAAATCACTTTGCAAACTCCATTTTTATTTGGGTTAAAAAGCTTTAGATGAACAAACATATGATACATACATGTTATAAGACTAGTTACCACTCAAACCTTTTTTGATACAGAAAATAGAATAAACCAAGTTTTAATCAGGTCTGAAAATGTTCAAGCTGAAAAGTCATCAACACCAACTTGGAGATTTTACACAAATGACCCCCCCCTCAATTCCTCCTCATAGGAAGGGAAGGGCGGGTTAAAAAAAAAAAAAACGGTCTTTTAAATTAGTTGGCCGACAAACATACTATTTTAAACCTAAAGGTTTGTCCCCCACATAAACAAAAGACTTCTCCACATGAACTCACATTTGAAAACAGGCCATTATACTTTCTAAGCCACATCACTACAGGTCCAAAAACTCATGAAGAAAAGATGTATAGTTCACTTGCACTTTCTTAAGCTAGGACATTTTTTTTTTCCTTTTCTTTTTTGGAGTTAGGGATGGAATTTTAAATGGCAGATTTTAAATCGTATATCCTAAATACTAACTGATATACTCCAAGTTAATATACAGAAAGACATGATTCTAAAATAAATACATATATATATATATAGTTTTCTTTTTTTCAACTTGATTAAGGCCTGCCTGGTGGCCCCTGGCCCAGCTCTGCACTGCCTCAGGGACGCCCTGGCTGGATCTATGATTCCTCCAGCACCTCTTGGTGCCAGTGGGGAGCCTGGAGGAGGAGTGCTCTGGCTTCTAATGCCCCATGTAGCCCAAACTGAAGAGTTTTTAGAGGCTTCCCAAAGAAGTCTTATCCAGACCTTAAAAAGGGAAATAAAATGAATGCATGAAATAAATAAATAACTTAACCAAAATTAAATTTCAGGTTCTTTGGTGTAATTCAAGGATGGCTAGAAATAAAAGAATCTGTATTATAAAGTTCATGAGTCAGTGACCCAAAGAACAAGGACTGAGGCTTTCTTTGTCTGATTCAGTTTAACAATAAGGTACTGACATAGAACTGCAGTATATTTTTAAAAATTATTTAAAATACTTGATGCAAACTGAGATCCAGTGGTTGACTACAGGCAATTAAGTTGCAAGGGCCTCCTATATTTAAAGTATCTAGACAACAAGAGACTTTTCCTCATTCTATACTTGTCCTCATGATTTAGTAAGAACGGTAATTAAACATCCAGTTACTGATCCATACCAGATTAAAAGAAAAAATGTATCCTCTCTCAGAGTCACTCTCAACTTGCAAACAGCAGTGGAAACTCCACCACGAAGGCAACCACCCTGTTCCACTGAAACAGGTTTTAAAAATACAGGCCCCAAGTGAAGTAATGTTCTCTGGTGGATGCTGTCTACCTGTCTGAACATCATACATTGCCTCTAAATGTTTATTCTAGGGTCATATAAGAAAGAGGGTCATCAAACCCAAGGGCTTAGGATCTGTAATCGTCTTTTTAGTGAGCATTTTCTTAAATTTTGATTCTTTTCTCCTGAAATTCAAAACTATAAGCTCAATTTTAAATATTTTAGAAAGCCTTCAATTTCCCATTGAGAATTACAACCCTGAAACTTGGGAGAGAAAAATGGCCACATCTGATAATGAGGAACTAAAGAACGACAGAACATTGGCATGGGCGGCAATCCAGCCATTCACAACTGTGCTCCTGATGTGGCTCACGTCCAGCTACACACCCCTTCCCTCTGTTAGGTTAGGTGTTATGCTCAGAAGGAAATCAACTCCACGCACACCTCAACGCTTTCTTCAAGATGAACTTCTATGTTTTCCAACGTACCAAATTTAAAAATTTTAAATTATTTAACATGGATAAGCATAAACTGGGAACTCCTTATAAACAGTTCAAAAGTACCCTTAAACTTACCTGCCAAGACTAAATATTATTCAGGGCTGTGCACATCTTCTGCAAAAAAAGCTGACATCACAGACGTTTTATGCAGCACGAAAAGACGTGCCTCTCCCTCTGGTGACCGGGAGGGGTGCGGCTGCAGAAGGGTGCACAGCACTGACTTCGGGCCCCTGCAGCAAGCCTTAGGGTCCACAGAGCAAACTGCCCCGAGTCTGCCAAACACCTAGAACCTAAGGAACAACCTTTCAGAGAAAGCACTCCATTTCACCTGGGAGCAACAGCTTTTGTGGAAAGTGGCTTAAGATATTCAGGCACACAGAACAGACACAAACACACTTCCCTCTCTCAGATGTAAACTAGGACCAACTTCACATTTCACTGTCGATTTAAACTAATCTGTAAACTGTCATGTGTGTGTTTTTTTCATTTTGTTTGTTCTTTTATAAAAAAAACAAAAACCCCAAGCCAAGAAAAAACCTTTGATGGTTTCAGTTCCATGGCAACAAGTAAAAAGATAAAACTTCAAGTCTACATATACAACCAATTATGAAACTGGTTTTAAACGAAGGAAACATATGCAAAAAAAATCTTTCTGTGTATTTGATAAAGTCAACTTAATATAACAAAAACAAATTGAAATAGCTTATTAAAAGTGTCCTTATATAAAAATGGCCTTGTGATGTACAATAAAATGCAATAAAAATTATCATCCTTTGATCCTTCCCCCCACCCCCAGTAACTAAAATGGCTACTGTTCCACAAAACTCTTTTATGCTTCTATAAAAGAAACGTAATTGATGAGATTAAACGTTTTCTAGGTTGTATGCTTGGCGAATGTTAAGGGTGTCTCGGAGCATCAAATCCCGAAGGCGCCAGAGAGCATCTGCCATGGTGGTGTGGGCCCCTTTACTTTTCAGCCAATGAGAGGGTAGGCGGCTCTCCTGTTCTTTCGACAAATGGACATCACGTCTTCTAGCTGAAAATTAAAGTGCAGACAGATAAATATAAATTGGAATTGTTTTTTTAATAAATTGGAATTTTAAGGTGACAAATTTTCCTTCAGGACTAAAGTCTGATTTATCCAAACACAGAATTAAATATTATAAACTTCAACTCTGCAGAATATTTCCAAGCAAACTTCCTGTATCATTTTATTAGGCATCTTGGTTTTTAGAAAAATATTTCACTCTGGTTTGAGACTACCCACTGGCAGCATCCTTGGCAAGAATGTCTCATGGCTGCTATATGCTTTGCATTTCAGAAATTATCTAATTTACAACGACTTCGCTATAGAGCTGCATGATTTAACACAACTCTCCGCTAGAATGGGAACGTAAGAGTTGCAAACGCCTGAAAGATCTAATCATTAATATTTTGTTGGAGTCACCCCTGATATTTAATAATTACTTCAAAGATAAATATGTGAAGGAAGGGAAAACATACCTACTACTCTTGAAAGAAATCAAATTTGGTTTAGAAACAAAGAACAAGTAGAAACTTCCAAATTTCTCTCCAGAAACTAGGCAAGTACTTTGTATGTACTGAAACAACATTAAGTCTGCTGAACTAAATGAACAGCTTTTTAGCTCAATGGGAACATATTTTCCAATCATTTTTTTTCACTGAGGCAAAATAATAATTTTTAATTTACCCATATGCATCTATATGCCTGAAAAATAATCAGAAAAATTCAGAATGTACTTAAAAAGGTGGCAGCGACATTTATGGCAAAACTAAGCTTTGAAATTTAGCAAAAAAATGTTTTCAGTGTATATTAATATGCAAAGAAGCTCCAAATCCTTCTATTAAATGTATTATTTATTTGTTTCTATAATAACAATGGATAATGTTTATCCTATGATACAACATGCCAACAGCAGCAAGGGACCGTGAGGAACTGCGCATTTTGCCAAGGCTTAAAGGCCTCTCCTTACCTGCCAGCGTCTGGTCCCATTTGCTAATGCTGCTGGACTCAGCACTGAGTCCTTCAATGTATTTCAGATAGGCCTCTGAGTGGAGAAGCCGCTGGGTCTTCGGTGGCGGAGCCACAAACATGGGTGTTGTCGGCTGCTGTATGACAGGTGGGGCAGCTGGATGCGGGCTGGGATATGGAGGCGGTGCCTGCTGCCCTGGAGGCCCCAAAACTCCCACCTGAAAGAGCACGGGACCACATGGTGAGGCAGAAAGATACTCTGCACATGCTCAGAGAGAAAAGGACTGGAACTGTGTGCAGTCCTAGAAGGTCAAACGGGAGGCTCACCTGCTGTCCATATGGACTTCCACTTGGTGCTGGAGTCCCTACCATAGGGGCCACTCCTTGGTGCATCACACCTATAATTCAGAATGCAGTGCACAATTAGAGTCTCTGGGACTGAGGGGATGAAAACTACTGTCTGATAAGAAATGATGTCACTGATAATGCCACCCTGTGGACCTCTGTCCTTAAGTCTTGAGGATAGGAAACCTAACCACCCAAAACAGGATGCAGCATTTAAACAGAAACTTTACATTCTTTTGTTTCTAGATACTTTAAGTACAGAGCTGGTACAACCTGTCACATGTACATCAATTACTCATGGCTTAGAAAATGATTTAAACCTCGTATGGAATTCTAGAAATATTTCCCAGGTAAGCTATAGTCAGAACACAATGCTATTTTCAAGGTATTTTTCTTCTGACAACAGATTCTGCAGCACCTGAAGCCTGTGTTCAATCTCAGCAGTAACGGCATTGGAGTCAGGCTCAGCAGTGCACAACGTGCTCGGCCAGCAGGGGCCCGAGGGAAGAGGCTGGGCAAGTGCTTGGTGAAATGAGCTCCGCTGATGCTGGACACACACCCTTGCTGTCCCCCTGCAGGTCGCCAGCACCTCTGGTTCTAACTGGACACACTAGTGCTGGCTGAGAGGCCACTTTCGTCTGCTAGGGCAGCTCTTTGAAGAGGAAGCATTTGGGAGCAGAGCAGCCTCACTGCTATCGCTTCAAATGCAAAATGACAAAAGAACGAAGAAGGAGAGACTTCAGAACCCCTAGGACGGACAGCTATACTACACCTCTGGTGATAACTTTGTACACTTCCCTTGGCGACTTCTCACAAGCAATTGCTGTCTCACAGGTGCTAGCTGACAACAGCGAGATGACTCAATTTAGTGTCTCAGGCCATTCTAATCTCAGGACCATCCTTTCACTAACCTGGTAAAACACAAAAATAGGCAAGGAGCCCATTCATTCAAAACTAACAAACCACAACCAAAAACCCTGGTGAGTTGCTCCTCAAACCCCAAACAAGTCGTGCTGGCTGCAAGAAGAACTGAGAGGCGCTACCTTCATTCTACAGCGGATTTAAAATGCTGATCTTTCAACCATGCAGAGAGGGAGCCCACAAGCGTAAGGTCCAGAATTGCTAGACGCCACTTCTAGGAAGATTAGATGTCCTCTTATTTGCTTAAGAGAAAATACTGAGCAAAACAAGCTTTGTGTTTACAAAGCAGAGGTTTTAATATTCCAAGTACCCAGAAGGGTGGCTGGACCACCATAGGAGGCTCCTAACGATTCTTTGTGACCAAATGAAGAAGGTGTGGTGGGTAAGCTGCTGCTCCAGCAACATATTAGCCCCTGGCCCCCAGGACACTCACCTCCATTACAACTCACAACACAGTGGGCTCCCTAAGCTGCCTGTATCAGTGCTTTCCAGGGCACCACAAACAAATCAGCAAGTCCTTCTGCTGCCTCTGTTTGCAAACACCATGCAAGGGACAGCCGCTGAGAGTGTGAGTGCAGTCTCCAGGCAGCTCCCTGCATCCTCTCACGGCCCGATCAGACGTGTGTGTCCAGGCACTCAGGGGGTTCTTTCCTGTGTCCCTGACAGTGACCAGGCGTACTGGGCATCCTTTAAAGGCAATTTAGAAACTAGAGAAGGAGGGAAGGAGGACAGCTGAGCCTCAATACTCACCAAAAGCCATCTGTTACCTAGAGGCTCTTAGCGGGAGCTCCCACTGAGTACCACGTGTACCTCAAAGGTGTCCACTCGGACCTGGTCTTACTGACGCAGTGAGACACCTTGTGCCCGGGTGAGCGCACAGAATTCAGGCCAATTCTGCCTGCTACACGTGAGCACCTGTCTCACAACTGATGCCTCCTGCAGCAACTCCTGGCACACCATCTGCTCCAGTTTTATAAGGAAGCGCTCACCCACACAAACATCTTCTCTAGGTACATCTGGAGCAAACACTTCTGTGGAGTTATGACCATTCTCTAAGCAACAGCCCCACAGAGGTCGGCCAGAGCACCAGGCCAGGCCACTGCTGGGCCTACCCTCTGAAGCATCATCTGGAACCTGTACAGCCCTGTGACTGGTATGTCTAACATTGGTGTAAGCAAATCTTAGCTGACATTTAAAGTAATAGACCAAGTGCTATTCCAAGTCATCTAAAAGTCACATTCCCTTCAATTAGATTACAGATAAGAGTCAGGTTTTGTGCACATGATGACAATTAATAGGGGAACTTGTGATTTTCCTTTCATTTAAATATTTAAAAAATAATCTTTCAACTTGTTAATTCATTATAAACTAAAAATGAATACAGCCATTTCTGGACTCCACTTCTATGTTTCTATATAAAACAACGTTGCGCTTCTGCTGACAAACAAACCAATGTCTACAATTAGGAGGGCTATGCTCTTCTCTAAAACGGGATGTCATGATTCTCAGGGGACTCAGATACTGAAAACTAGTTCAGTGCAAATTCATCCCCTCCTTCCCTTTTTGTTCCCAAGACTGACTGACCAAAGAACTTCTGAAGAGCTCTATGTTAGCAACCTCCCCTTAAAAAGCTGCTTGAGGAGAAAGAGACGGAGCAGCGACTCTACACAGAAGACCCTGTGAGATAAGAATTGCACCAGAGGAAGAAATGCACCCAGGAACACTATGTGCTTTTATATGGGTCTCTCGACAGGCAATTTGGGAAATTTCATTCACTGATATGATGGCATGGCCTTCTAGGCTGTGTTTGGCTTTTCAAGCACATGTCAAATAGCATGAGTAATTATAGAATATGCCTCCTGCCTCTTGGTCTGCTGAGTCTGGCCTCTGCCATGTGTCCTATGCTGCTGCTTGGCAGCCAGGTGTCCGAGGGCACAGGTGTTGGACCACCTGCTCACACATAGTACAGGCCCTGCTGCTGACATCCCTAGGATTCTTCAGTGAGGGACGGCCTGGCCACAATGGGCAGCAGGTGCCTTCTGGAGCAACTGGCTGAGGGAGGAAGAAGAGAATATGAAGATGAGATTAACGAGTGAATGAAGATGAAGCTCTTACCCGGTGGTGGGATGCCCGGGAGGCCGGGCACACCTGGCGGAAGGTGGTGGGGTGGAGGCCCCCCAGGGTGAAGTGGCTGCATGCTGCCCATGCTAACAAGGCCATCAACTGGGCCCTGCAAAGGTGGAAGGCCTGGCGGATAGCCACCCATCATGCCTTGAAGGACACAACAAATTTCAGACATGCATCATTAACATGCAACATGAGCTAAGTAATAACAACACCCCCACATGCACTATCAATGAATAAAGCGCCCTTAGTACTGCATGATGTAACAGCAATTAGTGCAATTATTCTGTTGCAATAATGAACAAAATAAAAAGTTACAAATATGAAATATAACATTTCTGGATGAATTAGTACTTAGTATATTATTATTTGTAGTTATTTTTTCTGGGATAAATATGCTGCATGTTTTTGGTTAAATAATAATAAAGAGGAGTTCCAGTAACAGCCTTCCCAAGGTCATGATTATTACAAGCTGTTCAAACAGAGTGACCAGTTCTGCCGACTGCAATTCTAAATGAACAGTAGAAACCCCATCATTCCACTCTGCCACACTCATATGCCTATCATGGGTACACATGAGGGGAAATCGGAATGGGGGGAGATGAGGCACACAGTCCTGATCACAAAGCATGCTTCTCCAGCTTGGGGGCGAGAGTGTTTCAAGACTTCCACATCCACTCCTCTTTCCTTCTAGCCCACCTCTGTTGGTAAGAATGGATCATGCTCGGCCTTGAGCTGGGGAATAGCTTCTAAGAGCCATCACAATGAATGATGTTTCGTCTTCAGATCTCACAATGTGACAAAATAAAGATAAAATCTAAACCCCCCCAAGCCAACCAAAGCCCAGGTCACTGTCGTCTGCATGCAGACCTTACAGAGGGACAGCTGGAGAACCAGGCTCTGCTGACGTGGGAAAGGCCACTTGTCATCACCATCTCCAAGCTCACAAATACCCCCATGTGAACCTTCAGTTAACAGGAGCATTTTAATTGAGGTACAGAATTTCTGTGAACAGAGACTTTTACTCCTTTATTTTCTACATAACAAAATATTTTCTGCTGGCTAGGGAAGAAGTTCAGGAAACTAAGTGCTTCTAACAAAAAGGAGTTTAAGTAAGAAAATAATTGCAAAATGTCAAGGACTCACCTATCAGAAGACTTTTAAAGCCACACGACATTTTTTTAAACAAGAAAAACAACTTGACTTTTCTGGGGTTTGTGATGATTGCAATAACAGAAACACAAGGCTCCCCCCGAAACATAATCTCCTCTGGTCACAGCATCTCGTACAAAGGGAGGGCTGAGGGAGACCTGGCTGAAGCACTAGGGCCAAACCTCATTTTTACAAAACACTCTTTGTAAAGAGACCCTGGAGAACAGCAGAAATTTCCATTTTCTGAGAATTTTACTCTTCAACTTTCCCTGAAGAAATATTTGAAAGATATTTATTTACAAAAGTTTAGTCTTTTAAAGCTATGAGATTAATGAAAATTCTGAATTGATTCAGTCTGCTTCAATAGTCACATCTAAGCTGACTGAAAAACCTTAGTTACACAAACCAATAAAACAAAATTTTAAATGGCAATATCTCTATACATGAAATAGGACTGTGAGTTTCATTTTTAAAAATGAGAGCTCAGAGAGTAAACATTACTTTTGAACACACACCATCACTTAAACACGAGAAGATCCAATGCCACTTAACTACCTTTTAACCTCACCACCGAATATCACTTTTAAGGATAAGCAGGTGGGAATTGAAGAATGTTAGGAGGCTTTGCTTTCAATTACAAAAGCCCATCTGAACGCAGCCTTCATGGGCTGCGGTTGGAGAAGTTATGAATAACTGAAAGACACGACACTTGTCTTCATTAAACTGTACTTTGGCATTTATATCCCAGTCACATGTTCAAATGAGCTTCAATGCTTGTAAGCAAAGCTGGTCTCAGACAGCAACAAAGCTAACACTTGGGCCCTAAGCAACCTGTAAGTCCACGACAAATCTTCCTCTTAGCTGCAAAGTTCCCACTGTGGACCAAAGACTAGAGAGACTGCTTGCCCTTCACTCCCCAGACTGCAAAGCCTGGGCAGCACACTCTTAATAATGGAACAGGGACTTTCTAGAGAGGCCCACCCTCCTCACCCATCAGAGCTCTATGCTGTTATTCCCCGACAGGGAGCTAAAATGCTGCAGCTGCTGTTTTTTAATGTTTTTAGCTGTTTGTATTCATTTTGTTAATGTGTCCCTGGGTTTTTTAGTCAAGGGCACAGTGCTACAATATCACACATCAAATAGAACAAAACAGGAGCTCAACAAGGGAATTCTAACTTTCAAAGTCCCCATGTTCAAGGCCTGATTTCTAAAAACCTCTGGAACCCCATTAACCAAAATGGGCCATGGAATAGAGCAGGCGATTATGAGACTTGTTAGATCCACATCAGTCACACCCGAAGTACTGAAAGCCATGATTCAGATGTGCTTTGGCGAGGGCAACTGTGAGCTGAGCGACAGTGCGTTTGAGAACTTGCCATCACGAAAGTTAGGAGCGACAATGGAAAAGTTATCCTATGCTACTCTTCCTCAAAACAAAAATGAAAAAAGCAAAAACAAAAACAGCATTCCAACAAGCCTGCCTTGGACAACACTGTCTTGGACTCACTGTGAAAGAGGTTAGACAGCTTGTTTAGGAAGAAACACAGGTGGCTCTTAAGGATGTCACCTAGCTTGGAGAGATCACCAAGGAGGGACCCAAAGGAGGGAGGTGGTCTGCAGGGTTCTCATCAGACACATGTCAGACAAGGATATGAAATTCAAGAATAGCCAAATCTGCTATGGCCACCAAACCAGAGACAACACACACAAGCAAACCACATTCATCATTTTCTTTTTTTTAAATATGTGACTGGGATACTAACAGAAAATGCAGTTTAATGTAATCAAATAGAAAAGCATTACAGAGTGGGCACAATGAATTGAAAAGGACTTTGTATTCCATTTAGCAGTCATGCACATTGGTGACCAGAAAGGATTTAGAATTCATTGCCAAAAATCCTTTTAAATGGTCAGTCTTTTAAGAATGGCTGCAGCAGAACAAGGCAAACTGAATACTGGAATGAGACAGAAAATCAACACCACTTGAAGGCTGGTTTTGTGTTTTCTCTTGGGAGTCCCCCTAGAACAGAATTCAGGGTCTACTTATACTTTCTGCCATAGCGCTCTCTCAAGGGCAGTCTGGAGTGAAGAACATCGCCAGACCATGCCCACAGCCAGGGAAGAGCTAGCTGCTCCCTATCAGCTCCCCAGGGTTGGGCCCAGGGCCCATTTCTAGGGCAGAAAGGAGGCACTGTCCGTATGGGAGAGGCAATATAGGACGACACGGATGACTTCAAACTTGGAATCTGTCATGAGAAAAGGCTAGAGACTGTGGCCTACTCCTCACTGGAGAAAAAAAAAATGAAGGAATTTCTTAAAGTGGAAAAAAATGGTCTTAGCTCCTGTTTTTACCTGCAACAGGTGTCAACTGCTGATTGAGCATCCCCATTGGTGTTGGTGGTGGCACCACCCCCATGAGAGCCCCCACAGGGGTGCCTGCTCGGGGAGAAGCACTCGGCTGCTGTTGCTGTGCTGCTCGCTCTCTCTCCTGCTGCTCAGCAACTTTAGCTGCCCGCTCTGTAAAGGCATTTCAGATTTTCAATTCTGTTTTTAACCCAGGAATTCAAAATACCATCCATTGCATTCAACAGGACTAGTAAAAACACAGGCAACAGTTCTGTCTCAATGGAAGGAACAGTAGACGACTAGTCTCAACACAGGAGGAGTCGGGCCGATTTCACCTGGTAACCTAGAGTCCAGCTTTCCTATCCCATCTTGAGAACTGGTCTGCAAAGATTTCAAGAATGTTAAGACTGCAACACACATTCAGAAAGCACAGGTTTTATTTAAACACATCACCAGTGGAACCAACGTGGTTCATCTCACGAGGCACCTTGAAGATGAGAAGCGCTACCATTATTCTAGCATTGATAGCATTATAGATTATTTATAATTTCAACATGAAGCAATTCCATGGCCCATTATAATTTTTGGCACAATTGTTACTTACTATATTTTCCTGATTCCTTGCACCCAATTTTACTAAGATTTGAGGACTCTTGTCATTAGTGTCATGGGGTTTTAGCAGCTGAAGAAAATTAACTCTGTAAGGGAAAAGTAGCTCACTGCCTCCTCCACAATGTTTGAGGGAGAGTCAACAGCTAATTTCTACATTCTAATGAAGCAAAGAGGTCATGTTTAATAAACCCCAAGGGGAAAAATGCACGATACTCAAGGCTACAGTCATGGGAAGCAGGGAATTATATAGACACACATGTAGCAGTGGACAATGTACTGAGAAAACCAGGTTACCTGAAACTGAGCAATTCAATAATGACCATAAATCCTCCTAAATCAGCAAAAATTCCAGAATCCACTCTTATTTCATCCAAAATGCAAGAGAAGCATTTGCTCGTGCCAGTTCTGTGGCTGCTGAATATGCCCTGCTGCACTCTTCACTCCTTCTGTCCTCCACAGCCAGCACCCAAACGATCACATTCCCAGTCTTTTTGGGAGCTAGCAGGCTTGACCCTTACTAGAGAGGTCTAGTATTCCCAAAGCTCCTACAGTACAGGGTTTACTCTGCTTCACAATTCATACATAGGAAATCCTACTTTTCACATGGGCAAACGGAGGTTGGGAGATAGGTAATGACTTGTCCACGGTTACAGAGAGAATCGGCACCCTGTGGCCCTGACTCCTGATAATCACACGCCAACTGCCACACATTAACCCTCCAACATGGAATTCAAAAGGCTATGGCTGATCTAAGGGGGAAATCGCTCAAGGTCATATGGCTTTAAAGAAAATCGAGAAGCAACATCTCATTCTCCTTTGATGTAAGAATGTAAAAGTCAAGTCAAAGCTTCCTTGGCTGCGACAGAGTTGCTGTGTAGACTTATCATCACTCACTAACACTGTCCCAGATTACGGATCCCCTGTACAATGAGTGTGAGGGACAACCTGTTTCCTTGAGTTAGCAATGAAAAAAAAATACTGATGACCTAGACCCCCACATTAAATTCTAGTATTTTCATTACACAAATGACACAGTAAAATGGGAGCGCAAAAAAATGAAGCTGAAAAGGCAGAAAAATTCAGGCCTGTGGACTGCGTGTTGGACTACCTGTTGGCTTTTTCTGGGAGAAGACCAACTGGGGAACTGTCTTGGAAAACAGAATGAATAAACTAAGCCATCCAAAATCTAAACTTTGGGTATTGAATTCAATAGATCAGAATCCCCAAAGTTTACAGATTTTGTGTCTTAGGCAGACACTGGCTGACGTATATAAATCACCCTCACTAGATTCTCCCTGAAATTTCACAGACTCCCCTTTGAATTTGGGAGAATTTCCCAGAAGCCATTATTTCTCCTTCTCTTCAGCCCTGCCCCAGTGTTTTTACTTTTACTTTATCTCCAGATACATTTCTCTCTCCTGTTTATACTCTTAAGTAATCAGCCACCCAGTACTGACTTCATTTGCCCTGGGACAGGCTTTACACTCATGTTTGCTTAACTTTCAACACTCTTCCAACTGGGTGGTATATTTGGTCTGAACTTGATTAAGGTTAGAAATATCAGGGCTCCTCAAAGTTCTAGGTTCTCAAGGAACTGACTTGGCCTTCTCAAAGAATATTCTGTAATGTATTAGTTCTTCAGAATATCAACAGGTATTACATAAATACCTGGTCAAGTTTCAGAAAGTATCAGGTAATAAAAAATAAGTTTCTTTACTGTAGGTCTTACAGACTTTAACATAGGAATATGCACTAAGTTTCCAAGAGAGAAATTTGGAGTGCTTCTCAAACTAGTTTTGTCACAAAATGATTACTGGCTGAGCATCTTGCAGGATTAGGGTTATGCAGAAGATCCTTAGGGAAATCTGTCAGCTAATTTTATAATAATCAATCATTTGTAATTGAAAAAGTAAAATCTTCTTTTAAAGGTTTCTTTGAAGGTTTCATAAACTTTAATAAAAGAGGCAGCCTTAACAATTAATTTCTTTAAGTTTGCTGGAAAATAATTGATTTGGACCTGGCCAAGCAGAGTAACAGTTGACCACTGTAGGGAGGATGGCTTTACGTTTACAAAATGAACCAATATATAAAATTCTAAACAGAAAAAACACAATTCCAAGGGCAACAGTCCTTCCTAATCTGTTTACTACTTATTTCTTAATTAAAGCCATGCCTGATATTTTTTAAAAGAAAACAGAAAAAATCTTAAGTATTTGTCCCTAATGGCTAAGAACCACCAAATCCCTGAATGATAGCTCATGGTGCAAAATGATTTTATTGTAGAGTAATGGGAAAGTGAAGGCAGTTGAGCTTTATTAAAGAGACTTAAAAGTAGCTATGAATGCGAACACAGCTCCGGCCAGGGTTGGCCTAGGAAACCAAGCACCTCAGCCAAGCCTCAGCCTGGAGTTTAAACATACGGCTTATCAAGAGCCATAACAGAAGGTCACTGATTTTAAGGCACCCTTTCAGATAAAGTTTAATCAAAATTACACTTCACAACATTGTACAGTCATTCCCCAGCTCAACACATGTGTGCTTATAGGGTTCAGTGAAAAAGGAAATCATGCAATTTTTAAAAGCAAGATATTTTTGTTTGAGCAATTTTTTTTGGGGGGGGGGTGGGAAAAAAACAAAAAACAAAAAACACCACACCAGGATCAGAGGCCAAGTCAGGGGCAGCACTCTGCTCAGTCAGGACAAAGCTGGCATCTAAAATGCTGGATGGGTGCCGTTTGGGACAGTACCCAGCACAAAGTTGATGTGCAAGTGGAAAGAACAAGAAAGTAAAACCTGCCTACGCACGTGCATTCCTGAAAACATCCCCTCAGAAAGCTGAGCCAGTTATGACAAGTCTCTATTTACCTTCATATTCTGCCTTCTTGGCTGTCTCAAGGTTTCTCCATTCTGTCCCCACGAGTCTGCTGAGCTCCCCAAAAGAGTAGTCTGGGTGTTGAGCCTTAATCACAGCTCTCATCTCGCTGCTGAACAGGATGTAGCCACTCATGTTGATTTTCCGTTTGGACCCTTCCTTCTTTGCACTGCCCTTGGCAGACTTTGGGGTAGACTGTAAGACAGACAGCTCTTATAGCACATCAAAACACTGCATCTGATTAACTGCTCCAAGTTTCTGGAAACCAGGAACATGTGATCAATAGCTACTGTTTTCTAGACATGTTCAGTCTCTAGATGACCATTTTCTTGGTCAAAAGATACCTCTTCTTTGCCTCTTATCATGTAAGAAATAAATCAAAGTTTCAATGAATTCTATGACTGCAATCCGTAACCGTGACCTCACAATTAAGTCTTGGAAAAATTCCAAACGAGAAAAAAAAAACAAAAACCCAACAGGGATCACCTCAAACAAAACATGAGATTCTAAAGAGATTAAAAAGATATGGCACATGGGCAATAGAAGCTAAAGAGCAATAGGTGATATCATTCCTTACTGCTTTTCTTCAACACAAGGCAGGGA